TTCACGTGCAGTGTCATGGAGACAGATCTAGGCTGAAGATTTGGGCACCGTGAGCAAACAGGTGATAGTCAGAATCATGAGAGTGGATGACGTCCCTCAGGAAGGACATGTAGAAGGAGAAGAGCTACGGACCAAGGAAGGGGCCCAGGGGAAGAGCCGTACTTCAAAGGTGGGCAGAGGAAGAGGAGTCCTTACATGGACCAGAGAAGGAGTTGTTAGGGAGGAAGGAGACCCGTGAGCACTACATCGTGGAAGCAGTGGTAGGCAGCCTTAAAGATGCCCCCAATGCCACCGCCTCCTGGTACTCTTGCCTTTGTGTGATCCTCTCCCCGGGCATGTGGGCTGGACCTCTTCTAATGAGCAGAACATGGCAGAAGTAATGAGATGTCCTGTCTGAGTTGAGATTACAAAAAGACGAACGGACATGTCTTTCTTCCTTCCACCCCTCTTTCTCAAATTATTCAGCCTCGGGGAAACTATGTCCTGCTATCCTCTCCACACACAACTGGAGCCTTAAGTAGAGACCACACCCCTCAGCTGAAGGGCTCATGGATTCCTGACCCGCAGAAACTTAGAGATAATAAATGTTTGTTGTTCGGGGAGGCTAAGTTTTGGGTTATTTGTTACGCATAAGCCAAGGAAGAAAAAGATTTTTGAAAGAGAGATACTGGTCCTGGTCAATGGCGTTAAAAACTGCACATAAACACTGGAAAATGTCCTTAGATGTGGCAAAGGTCATTACCAAGCTGGGTTCCAAGGGTTTCGGAGAGTTGAGACGCCAATGAGCAGTGGAGGCTAGGGCTGGAGAGCAGGAGTGCTCTGCAGACATCTGCTCTCTCTGCCTGCCCAGCATCCATTTCCCCATCGTCTATGACATCGCCCTCATTTTCCTCTGAGTAACCACCCATGGCCTACCGGACACAAGTCCATGAGACTGTCCATCAGGGTGCCCAGCTGTCCACAGGCCAAGTGGAGGCCACGTGACTCAAGCTGCACCAATCAGAAGCTCTCCCTGGAATCTGAATCAGGAGCTTACGTGACAGGAGGCCGGAACCTGGTTAGACCTGATTCATGTAGCAGCCAGGACCCTGCGGAAACCGCCATTCCTTCCTGCTGCTTCCGTTCCTGCTACTGACCTGGTTCCAGTCCTTTCTTTCCAAAGCCTGGTTCCTCAGTCTCTGCTGCCATTGTGGGTGCCATCCTCATTTCCTTCTAATAAACTCCTTGCTCGCTTAAAGGAATCAGCAGGGCAGCTTCTGTTGCTTGCTGCCCAAGAACCCTAACTCATACTTGCTCTTTCAAGAATTTTGGATGTGATGAGTAGGATCACATCCAAAAGAGCAGACACAGAGTAGAGGGAGGTAGGGGTCTTTTGTTAGTTTTTAAGGTGGCAGGAATTTGGGCAATTTATAGGCTAAGAAGGAAGAGAGAGAAGGAAGGACTGTTGAAACAGAAAAGGGAAGAATTGGTGGGGTAATCTGGAAGTCCTGGCAGGATGGGTGACCCATGGGTGGGGAGGACAGACTAAAACAGAACTTGGAGAAGAGATGTAAATCTGGGTGTAGGTTTGAATAGGAAGTTGAAGAAAATTGATTGAGTTGATTAGCCTTAATTTCACTTGCTGAAACTGAAAGGGTGGGGTGGGGAGACATTCGTGGGAGAGTGGCAACTGACAGAGGAGGCTGACGGAGAAGTGGAGCGGCTCCTGTATTCACCGCTTTTCCACCGTTCTTCCCTGAGCCAGTATCAGCCACGTGGACCAAGGTTCGGGATGTGGTGACAAATGAGGCAGAAGGCCAAGGGTAGAAGGGACTCAAGGAAGTGCTGGTCAGTTCCCATTTTCTGGTCCAGGTCCGCCCTGCACCCCACTCTACCCAAGCTCTCTTGCCCTCTAACTTGTAAGAAGGTCCCCCATGGGAAGCACCAGCAGGACGTTAGAGAGTCTACAGGTGACTCTCTAACCTGTATGGATGACGCTTTCTGGGAGAAGAAAGCGTCATCCAAGATATTCCTTCTACTTCCAGCTCTGTGTCAGCCCCGTGGTTCTGGCAGCTGCTGTGCTCTCCACAGCTCCAGTGCCACTTGGGTTACACTGCATGGCTCTCACGGGGCTCCAGTAACACCATCATTTCCTTTCCTTGTCCATGCAGACATAAGGGTGGTCACAGCTTCCTGCTGCCTTCACCTCCCTTGTTGGTTTGCTCAGCGCTGCCCACACCTCTACAAAGAGTCCGTTCATTAAATTGTCTTCAAAATCCCAGCTGTGGTGCCCTCTGTTTCCTGCTGGGACTCGGGCTGTTAGAGAGCTTGCAAGAGAGATCAGATGGTCCCATGTGAGGCTCTGGCTGGACAGGGAAGGGAGAGAAGCCAGGAGGGGTCCGGCCGGCTGGCAGAAAGCAGAGGGATCCAGGGGGCGGAGCTCTCAGTGAGCTGAGGCTACAGGTGAGACCGCAGTGAGGGCCTGCCAGGCCTGGAAGGCAGATGCTGGGATCCGAGTGCAGGAAGCTGGATTTCAAACACAGAAGACAGCACTGTGTTGTGCCTAAAATCAGGGCTTTTTAATCTGCGACCCAAAGAGTCTGCTGTTGGACTCTTTTTGGCAATCCTGGTGTTGGCAAAGTTCAGCCACTTTGCTAAATGTTTCACCCAGGGAAGTGACTTCACCTTCCTGAGTGTGTATCCTCACTTTTGAAACGAGGATATTAATACCCACCTTACAGGTTTTGTGAGGGTAAACACATGTAACTCATTTGGCACAGTGCCTGGCATTTGATATAAGTGCTTAGTGAATGTTTGCTATGTATGCTGCACTTGCAGGTAATGACTGAGTTTACGGTATGGTCATGGGAATGGATGGATGGAGTGGGATGAAGGTTAGCAGAGATGAGGTGGAAAGAGACTGAGAGGCTAGATCACTGGGGGGATGGACCACCATGGGAGGCGAAGTATCCCACCCAGCAGGCTGGCAGGGGCCGTGGTGGAAGGTCTGTGAGGAGGTGCTGCAGTCTTCAGGAGTGAGGGGAAGTGACCAGGGAGTCAACAGATGTCGCTGAGGAAAAGGGACAGAGGGTTGCAGAACCTGAGGGCATAAGGCTCAAGAAAGCCAGGTTCTGTGAAGCTAGGCTAGAGTCGGGATCTGTTTCAGCTGAGTTCCCATAGCCATTTATATGTCCCTTTGAGATGTCCCCAGTGATCTCGTACTGTGCTATGACAAAGCTTGTCAAGAGAGGGATTGGGCCTGGCCCATCCTGTAGTATCGGTAGCTAGAATAGATGTATAGCTTGGTAAATGATTACTGAATGACTTGGGGGCGAGGGAAAGAGAAAAGTACTGGGTGACATTTAACAAAGTGGCAGAGCCAGGATTCCAACACCAGACTCTTTGGGTCGCAGATTAAAAAGCCCTGATTTTAAGCACAACACAGTGCTGTCTTCTGTGTTTGAAATCCAGCTTCCTGCACTCGGATCCCAGCATCTGCCTTCCAGGCCTGGCAGGCCCTCACTGCGGTCCCACCTGTAGCCTCAGCTCACTGAGAGCTCCGCCCCCTGGATCCCTCTGCTTTCTGCCAGCCGGCCGGACCCCTCCTGGCTTCTCTCCCTTCCCTGCCCATCTTATTTACCTTTGGTTTTATTTCACTTATATAACCTAATCCTTAAAAACAAAACAAAACAAAAACTTATTCAACTTAAATGTTTTCTGCCACCTTTATGCATGTTATTACACCTATCTAGAATACCATTACCCATTCTATCCACCCAAAGACTTTCTGTTCCTCATTCAAGAATAAGCAAAAATTAATCATCAGAGAGAATAAAAATAAACCACACTGATATACTACCACACATCTGTCAGACTGGCAAAATTAAAGTATTTTACAGTACCATGTTGACAAGGATGTAAAGAAGGAAAACTTTCATTCAGTACTGGTGGGAGAGTGAATTGATATAAACACTTTAGAAAAACACTTTATGAGTATGGTAGACTGGAAAACGTCTGCCAAAAATATGTCCATGGCTTAATCCCTGGAATCTGTGAGTTATCATACGTGGCAGATGTGATTAAAGTTAAGGATTCTGAGATGAGATTATCTTGGATTATTCGGGTGGGTCCTACATGCAGTCACATGTATCTTTGTAAGAGGGAGGCAGAGGGAGATTTGACCGACAGAAGAGGGGAAAATGTGACCACAGAGACACAGAGATTGGAGTGATGCAGCCACAAACCTAGGGTTGATGGCAGCCCCTAGAAGTAGAAAGAGTCAAGGGACAAATTCTTCTCTAGAGCCTCCGAAGGGAGTTAGGCCTGAGAACAACTTGATTTTGACCAAGTGAAACTGATTTTAGACTTCTAGCCTCCAGAATTGTGAGAGAATACATTTCTGTTGTGTTAAACCACGGAGTTTGTTTACAGCAGCTCTAGGAAACTAACATAGGCAGTATCTGCCAAACCTGAACATAGTCGTGCCCATGTCCAGCAATTCCACTCCTGGGTATATCCCCAGAGAAATGTAAGCATTTCTTTTACATTCTGCATTCACCAAGAAACACACAGAGGAACGTTCACAGCATTATTCATAACAGCCCCAAACTGGAAACAACCCAAATATCCATCAACAGTGCAATGCATGAACTACTTGTGGGATGTTCATAAAAATGATTCAACTGCAGCCCTGACCAGCGTGGCTCAGTGGGTTGGGCGTCGTCCTGTGAAGCGAAAGGCCACAGGTTCGATTCCAGGTCAGGGCACATCCCTGGGTTTTAGGCCAGGTCCCCAGTTGGGGACATGGGGACATGCCAGAGGCAACCGACCGATGTTTCTCTCACACATTGATGTTTCTCTCCCTCTTTCTCCCTCCCTTCCCCTCTCTCTAAATAAAAATAAATAAAATCTTTTAAAAAATAAAATGAGTCAACTACAAATAAACACATGGAAGAACCTCACACACACAACATTGAGCAAAAGAAACCAGACACAATAGAAAACATATTTTATGATGCCATTTATGTCAAGTGCAATAAAAGATAAAATTAACTATATCACTGAGTGATATAAAACTAGAAAGTTAAAGAAAAGCAAGAAATTATTACTTTCAAAGTCAGGATAGCCCTGGCCGGGTAGCTGTTTGTGAAAGCGTTGTCCTGGTATGCCAACGTTGCAGGTTCAATCCCCGTTCAGGACACAAACAAGAATCAACCTATGAATACATCAATAAGTGGGATAGATAACAAATCGATGTCTCTCTCTCTCAAAACCTCAAGTCAATTTTCAAAAGTCGGGATAGTGTTCCCAGCTAAGAAAAGAGGGCAGTTGTGACCAGGAGGGAGCACATGACAGAAAGGTAGCATGGTGGGGGGTAGCTTCTGGGGTGCTGGTCATATATCCCTTAACATGAGAGGCACAGACACTTTACAACAACCTAACTGTACATTTATGTTTTATGCACTTTTCTGAATGTTATAGTCACAATTAAAATGTATCTTGGTGGTGATGGTGGTGGTGGTGGTAATTTTTAATGGAGTGAACAGGGCACTTCCTAACCCACGAAGCCTTCCTGGGCCCCTCCACCCAGGTCCCCAGGGCTCCACCAGCCTTGGCTGCTTGTTCAATCACTGGCTACTCTGGGCTGAGTCACAGTGTCCCAGTCTGGCTCATCCACCAGAACAGAAGCCAGCAGCCAGGCTAGAGTCCTCTCAGAGTCCCCAGCAGAAGCCAGCCCAGGGCCTGGCCCACGGGAGGCCTAGGGGAACCTGTGCTTCCATGTCCCAGGCACGCATGGCCTGTCTCATGTTTCCACTTCACGTGGTAATCTTCGAGGCCCATGTCTGCCTGACAGCGTGTGGCAGCCAATGACTGCTGATGCAATGAGGTGGCTGACTCTACCTTGTCATTTGCCTTTGATGCTGTCCATATGTCTCTCTACATCCCATTCGGGAATGTTCCCTAGGGTTTAAGTGAGATTCTTGGTCTGGAATATCTCCTCTGTGTCATTCTGTTGAACTCCTATTCATCTTTCGAGAGCCAGCTGCAGGCTCCTCTTCCTCCGGCCTGCATTCCTCTGAGCTCCCACAGTCCCTTATTTCCCTTGGCTGCACCCTGTTCAGAAGTCTTTCTCACCTTCTGAAGCTCTTTGATCTTCCTGGGTTATCCTTAAGGCCTGGGTCTGACCCATTTCTGTGCCTCAGGGGTCTGCTGGGTCACTCCTAGCACAAGTGCGAGCTCTGACAAGCCCAGGCGGCCTCCACAACACATGTGCTCAGGGAGGCTTTGAAGGGCAAGGCATTGCCTCAACGTCCCCACCACTTGGACAATGCTGAGCCTGCACGCTCCAGAGGCCTCGAAGTTGCACACTCACTTCCCGCATGCACATGCCAGCCAGCGAGGGAGCATCAGCCTGAGGAGCCGAAAAGGGAACGTAGAGGAAGGGGGTGGTGTGTGTGGGACGGGCCTAAGGAATAGGGCGGGGCTGAGGCAGGCAGTGCAGCAACAGGAGCAGGACCGACCTACAGTCCTGGGGGTGGGGGTGGGGGGCGCAGGCGGCCCATCACTCACTAGGGGTTAAGAGACAGGTACCATGGCCTGAGGGAGCAGCAGATCCTGGAATTAAGCCCAGCCAAGAGGGAGCAGTTCCTACCCTTAAGCACAGCAAGCCCCAAGTAAAATTGAGCCCCAAATCTGGGAAGGTTCTGCAAAGAAAGCCTACTGAGACCCAAGCCAAGGACAGTCCCCCAGCTCAAGGGAAAGACAGTGAGCAAAGCTCCCACGTCCCTCCCAACCTGACTTGGTCCACCAGGGGAGCACTGCTTTCCATCTCAGTGTTGCTTCTTTATACCCCAGGCAAGTGACTTCCTTTCTCTGAGCCCATTTCCTGACAAACTGGGGGTGATATCCCTACTTCACACAGCAGGCTAAGTATTAAAGAGATCTTGAGTATGCCCAACAGATCTGGGATCCCTCCCAAAGAGGGTGCAGGGAAAGCAGCAGTCACAAAGTGAACGGCTGGACCAGGTCTGGACTCCCTGGCCAGGACTCAACTACTAAACCTGGCACTTTATCCCTTGTGTATCAACATAGTTCAAGGGTCCAGGACAGGTTCCCAGGTGTGAGTAGGTCCACCCCTTCCCATAGGAACAGCCAAGTTAGAATCCCTGCTGACCCCACCCCGAGCTCCCCAGTTCTGGTTCCCTTCCCAAACAGGAAGAAAACCCCAGGGTGTTGTGTAAGAAACTTGGTTCCTAAGCCCATAAACAAGTGGTGGGGCAAGAGCAGGAGGCTACAACCTCCTGCAGCCACTGGGGGGCACGAAGAAGTGTTTGGCCTCAGTAAGAGAAAGAACAGAGACCCAAATTTGAGAAGGTGACTGTCTAGGTGATGTGTGGGGAACCACCTGGAGAGGCAGAGAAACCTGGCTGCTGATCTGCTTGGTTTCCAAACCCTCTGAGCTGTCAGCCTCGCAGACAGCTGGCCCACATCACTGAACAAGTTAAAAATACTGGCACTCCCAAGGACCAAGCATGTGTCAGCGGGGCTGCAAGTGTTTGTGACTTCAAGGCAGTACAGTGGTACCTCAGTACTCATTGTTATTTCGTTCCAGAACTCATGACGAGTGTGGACACCACTGAGTACCTAGTGAAGCACACTTAGTCTTGCAGGGCGGCACTGTGACTCATACCAGTTCTAGCAAGGGCAACGAGTCCCAAAACACTTTTTTCTCATCAAAATGCAATGAGTACCAGGTGTGACGAGGTCTGAAGCTGAGTAGTACTGAGGTATGACTGTACTTCCTTTGACAGAGGAGGAAACTGAGGCCCAGAGAAGGGAGCAAGCCTGTGGTAGCAACTGACATGATCTGGCATCCTGTTCACCCTCCAGCCTGACACTGGGCCAAGAACTCCAGGATTGGTACTAGGCCCAGGCTCTCATCAGCTCCTTCATCCATCCCATTAAGAAAAAGTCCCGGGAAGCCTGATGCCCACCTATACCCCTTCCGGGGCAGTTTTATTGGTGCCATTTAGAAAATACCTTTCCCATCAGCCCCCAAGCCTCAGCCTTTGCCTTTCCCTTTCTGAGAAGGCAGCTGGCTTCTGGTCCTGGCCTCATGGGCAACAGCACACTTGGTCTGATACCTGCTGGCAACACATATCTGACACTCTAGGTGTAGGTCCTTGTGCAAGTCCATGTCCAGCACTGAGGAGCAGAAGAGGTGGAGCGCCAGTTCTATGTGTGGGCAAGGTGAGCAGGCCCCATGTGTGCCCCAGCTCCAGTGCCTGGTGTGGCTGAGGCCCAGGGTTGGGGGCAGTAAAATCAGAGATCCTGAGAGAGAAGCCCTTAAGCCAAGTAAGTATGTGGAGCAGGCCAGGGCAGGAGCCCAGGAGAGACTTCCATGGGGACAGTGTGTGCACACAGCCCAGGGTCAAGGACACAATATGCAGGGGGCCCTTGGTGACTACGTGCCCTTCCCTTAGGGATCTGCATGCTAGAGCCCCTGGCCTCCTGGAGCTGAAGGAACACACCTGAGGGTGGGGCTGGCGGGGCGGGGTGGTTGAGAAGGAAACTCAGCTGGAAGTGGTTTAGGCCTCAGAGCCCACATCCTGTCAGAGAAGCTGTCAATGAGCCAGGCTGTCAGGGGGCCTGGCCATCTGTCTATCTCAGTCCTCAAAGCTGCTGGAGTGACAGTCCCCTAGGATCAGTGATGGTCTTTATCCTCCTGGGAAGAAGGTGGCCCAAAAGCTAGGAGGCGGGGTCAAGTCCTGCCAGATCCAGAATCAGGAGGCCTCTGACGGGCGACGTCCTCCTTCCTCCTCCATGAGCAGCAGGCGGCGCCGGCCAGCCTCATAGTCAGCCTCGTCCACACTGACCAGCAGGCGCACAGCCTCCCGGCCAACTGCCTCCCGCAGGGCCTCAGTTAGAAACACACCCCGCAGGGCCTGCAGCAGGGCACCACTCAGGTAGTCCCCCCAGAAGGCGTCCAGATAGGAGAGCTCCGAGAACTTGATGTCACACACCACGGAGCCCAGGTCTCGGGAGCGCAGCACTGCAGTGGCCTGCCCGAACACGTCTAGCTGCCGCGCCAGTGCCTGGGGCCGCCGAGATGCCACACCCTGCTCCAAGGCTGGCCCATGTTCGCAGTACTCTGCTCGCACTCTGAGCCGGATGTCTGTGGAGAAAGAGGGACTCCTCAGTGAGGGGCTGATACCCAACACAACGCTCAAGGGGACTGCCTCCCCTCCCTCCCTTGAGCCTCCTCTGCAGGCTCCTCCCACTACCCTGAGGGCTGCACTGCACCTGCCCCACATCCTTCCCCCTTTTGGTAACCACACCCAAGTATGGGTGACACCCCCCCATGGCTTTCCTCCTCTGGTCTGGCCTGTTACCTCCTGACCTGGCGCCTTCCTCTTCCCCTCACGGGCCCCACTCCAGCCTCACCACCTCCTTGCTCTCTGCTCCCCGCACCGCCAGGGAGGTTCCACCCGGCCCTGCCTCTCTTCAGCCCTGAGATGCTCTGTCCCCAGTCTACTCCCTCACTTCCTTCAGCTCTTTGTTCAAATGGCACCTTCCCAATAGAGCCTATCCCAACCACCGCATTTAAAACTTTACTACCACCACTCTGGCTCCCAGCATTCCCGGCTCCATTTTTCCCAAGGCACTTACCACCTTCTCACCTACTCTAAGCTTTCCCTTCCTGTCATGCTTATCGCCCATCTCCCCACAATGTACGCTCCATGAAGGACAGATTTTTGTCTGTTTTGTTTACTTCTAAGACCCCTTGGCACATAGTAGATGCTTTGTTCCCTTGCATAAACCTGTGGTACACAGTAGGTGCTCAATATATATTTATGAAAGAATCAACGCATGAATGAATGACTACCCTTTAGGCAATCAGCCTAACCCTCTCCCACCTTCAAACAGTGACATTCATGTGGAACCAGCCACATTCCCAGACCTCCACCTACCAAGCAAGCACCAGGCCCAGGAGACTCAAGGCTAGAGCTGGGCTGGCTCTACTGGAACCGAGTGCTCTCTTTCCAGAGGCTGCTAAAATGGTAGGCTGTAAAATGACAGAGGTGCTGAGGGCCACTCTGCCCCCAGGAAGGGAGAAAAATGAAGCCTATGCAGGGCCAGCGATAGAGGGAAAGACTTCTGAGCTCATCGCATGAGCCACAGAGCACCTGGAGTTTCAGCTACAATTTCTTTTCAGCTTAAGCCAGTCTAAGCTGAGTTTTGGTCACTTAACAGCGCTGCCCTCATCTGCCCAAATGAGATCCCAGCTCTGTGCAGTGGACAGGACATGGACGCTTCTGAGGCTTACTCATATAAATGTGACCTCAGGCACATCACCTCCCTTTGGGATCACCGAACTTGCACCTGTGAAATGGGGCTACTAACGCATGGCACAGGCTGTTCTAAGGATCAGCTATAAGCTACACGTAACAGCAGTCCTCACCGCAGAGCACTATCTGCCAGGCGCCACTCTAAGCACTGGACACCTATGAAATCACTGAATCCACAAACAACTCTGTGAGGCAGGTCCTATGATCATCCCCACTGTACAGATGAGGAAATGGGAGGCAAAGAGAAGTGCAGTGACTTGCCCTACGTTACATGGTCAGGCCGTTCAGCACGTGCCCCAGAGAGCAGTTCAAGCCAATGGAGCCATTTCCAACCCAGGCACTAGCTATGTGACCTGGGACAAATCACAACCTCTCTGAGCCCAGTTTCCTGCCTAAACCCGGGGACAATCCCCGCTGTGGAGGGCTGTTAAAAGGATTAAAAAGAGCAAAAAATTGAAAGAAACTAGCTGGCACAGTGCACACATCATGCCCAACAGGTGCTCCAAGAATGGCAGCCTCCAACAGCTCCAATGCACCAAACGTTTTACCTCAGGGGATTCAGTAGCATTAGCCCTGTGCAGCAGGGGCCATATTCAATCCATCTGACAGATAAGGAAACTGATGCTCTGGGAGGGGAAGTGTCATATCCCAGACTCCCTTTACCTTTCACAGACCATGTGAGCAGCAGAGCGGAAAGTAGAAGGCAGGTCCCTGCTCCCTGAGATGACTTCTCAACACCGCCCACTTCCTCCTCCCACTCCAAACCCCAAACCCTTCCTCTTTCTGCCTTGAGAGGAACCTCGCCCCTGTCTGATCGAAGCCCAGGGAAAGCCCGCTTGGCTCAGCCCCCATGACCTCGCAGGGAACTCAGGCCCAGCTCCCTCCAACTCTAAGGACCAGGTAAGAACTCCGGGTTCATATCCTTGACTCCTGTGTCTGACCATGCCCTCAACTGGTGTGGACTGGGGAACAAGGGGCTGGGTGGAGCAGCACCTGTCCAAGGCCATACATGGCTGCTCAGTGGAGGAATCACAGAGCCAGGTGGCGGAGTCAGACAGACCTTGAGGCGAGTCCCGGCTCTGCCACTCTCTAGCTGTGCAGCCTTGGGCATGTGACCTCACCTCTCTGAACCTCAGTTTCCCCATCTGAAAAACATAAACAAACAAGAGGTCCCTGCTACACAGTGGGGTCATGAGGATTAAATGAGGCAACTTGTGAAATGCTTGACCCATGGCCTACAACACTCAGGGCACTCAGAAACAGGACCTGCGATTCTGACACCCATCTCTAATCCCACAGCCCCTGCCCAGGTCTTGCCCTCTCTTGCCTGGGCCCCTGAGCCAAACACCTCCTCCCTCATCTCCTTCAAGCTCAGCTACATCCTTCCATACCCTAGTCTCCAGTCACAAGGAAAGTGCTCCCAGCACAAGCCTTGCTCACTCACAAAAATGACCTGCCAGCCTTCTCTGCCCGGAACAACCCAATCACTCACCATGGCCTGCCCAAGTGAATCCCCTCCAAGGTCATCTTTCTCCTCAGCACAGCTTGCTACTAGACCTGTGGCATAAACTGTCTATTCACCCAGCACCCGCCCCACAACCTTGGGGGGAGGGGTTTAGAAAGAGGACAAACCAGGGTGGAGTCATGTGTATCTCATGCATTCGTTCATTAAACAGCCATGTTTACTGAGTGCCAGCCACACAGGGGTGACATGAGCACCCTGCCACACGTGCAACTGGAAGACACATAATCCTCAGTTAGAGAGGGCTTCCCATGGACCTTACCCTCCCCAAGTCCTTTCCCTATCTCAGGCCCCCGAGTCTTCACAGAACCTTCATTATCCCCATTTACGGAGTAAATCCTTCACCAGACCATGGTCCAACTTGGTCTAGAACACAACAGGCGAGCACACAGAAGCCCTGCATTATCTGAACTGCTGTTCCGTCGCTGGCCCTGGATCACAGCGCACACTGCACATCACGGCAATCTCCCCCGGACTCCTCACCAAAAGATGTAACAACAACAGACGAAACATCTACAGTACTTACTGCAGCCTGGCACACACTTCATACCCACTGACCCTTTTGATCATCTCTGCAACCTTATTAGGCAGTGCTATTATCCCCTTTTTGCAGATGGGGAAACTGAGGCAAAAGGGATGAGTCACCAGCCCAAGGCCACAAAGACAGGAAACAGCAGAGCTGGGATTCCAACCAAGGTGCCTGGCTACAGAGCTCTTAACTACCCCTGCCTTGTTTGCTGCCTCTCACAACAATACACAGAAATCTGTAATTAAGAATATCCTGAGGGTGAGGAGAGAAAATTACAGAGAATGAGGTATAATTTAGATTGAAATGATCAGAGAAGACTTCTCCAGGAAATGACACTGGGAGTGAAATGTGAATGAGGACAAGTAGGTTGAGACAGAAAAACTGGAGGAGAGAAGAGCAGCATTCTGGAAGAGAAGACGTCACGTGAAAATCTGGAGGCAGAAAATGAACTTGGGACATTCACAGTCTGAGGGCCACTGTGGCTGCATCACAGTGGAGGAGAAGGGGACAGCTGGGGGGGAGAACTGACCACACCCTGGAAGGCCATGGCAGTAGGCGGGGACCTCCCAAGGTGACCACACCTCTCGGCACTTCAGTGGCCTCTTCCATGAGATCCCCACTCTAGCACCTGCTCTCATGGGCCCACTGATTCCATGGCTGGATGCAGGTAAACAGCTGAGGCTGCTACCTGGAATTCATTTTGTCCTTCAAGTGCATCAGGGTGTCAGGAACAGGGTAGGGCAGCAGTCAGGGAAGGCCAAAGGTGGCGGGTCCAGGATGGAAGCAGAAGACATGGCAAGAAGTGGATAGACTGGCCATGTGTGATAGTGAGAGGCAAGGCAGGAAGAACACCCCGTGAGCATGTGACCTGGGCTGGGGGCTGGTTGTTTCCTGTGTCCAGGAACACCAAGCATTTGTCAGCAGTCCTGCTCCACTTGAGCAGCTGTAGGGAAATGCCCTCTGCCCCCAGGGGACATAGGGTGAGGGTATGTCTTCCTAGAGAGGAGAGCTATTCCTGTTTTCTGTACTCAGGTGGGCCTCAGAGGAAAATGGGAAGGACTTCCCAGTGGGAGACCAGGGAAGATACAAGGGATAGGCCCTGGGCCAGGTGAACAGGTGAGCAGCCTTACATGCCAATCCCTATGCTACGTGTGCTTGGGGGCCAGGGATAATCTCAGGTTTTCTCTCTGCGAGTCCCTAATAGGGGTGCTGGGGACAAAGAGGACTTGTGCCCCCATGATGCTTGGTGGAGAGAGGCAGCCAGCGTGCTCCAATGAAAAGACCCCTGCTCCCCACTGCCACACAGGGCCAGGACCACCCCCCTCTGGACAACAGCAGCACCCCTCCCTTCCTCCAGTCTCTTCCCCAAGAGACAGCCAGAGTCAAGATGTCAAAAATGAAGTTCTTCAACCTCTACTGAACTAATGAATCAAGGCAATGAGGAGAAACCACTATCAATGTCAGACAAAGGTTAAGAACACACCACCTAGGAAGTGAGCTTGAAAAAAATGAAATACCAACCTAGAATATGATCAAGCCTTTCCAGCTGCAACTACCAATTTTTAGGAAATATAGACAACAGAGAAACATTCAGTCAACCCTACCACAGGATGAAATTGGCAAAATTCAGTCTTTGGGAAGGGCTGTGGGACAACTATTATACTTTCTTTTTTAATCCTCACCGGAGGATATGTTTACTGATTAGAGAGAGAGAGAGGGAAACATCAATCAATGTGAGAAACATTGATCGGTTGCCCTCCCATCCATGTGCCCTG